CAGTCGGTCATAGAGGATGATGATGATGATGACGCCCCCCATGGTTTCCATGTGCCATCAAACACATGGTGTTAGCTCCTGCTAACACCTTTAGCGGGAGCTAACACTGTTAGCGGTAGCTAAAACAAACACAAACCAAATTGAACCAAATGAATGGTGGTTTAAAGTGATGATGGATCTTCAGGTCGTTGTAAAACCCTCCGGTTGTGTCTGAAAACGGTTTTGACCCCAGTTCTGCTCGGGCACAGCCTGAATCAGGACGTCTCTGCAGCATTCACTCTCCAGTTGCTGTTTCCAGCAGCAGCAACACAAACTCAGATTTTTCATCCGACTCTTTGCTCTTCCTCAGTTTGGTCCTCGTTTTCATTTCCTGTCATCGTTTCTGTCTTCGCTTCTCCTTCAATGAGCTGCAGTTAAAATCAATGTTCTGACTGGAAGGAGCTAACGCTGCGTCACATAGCATTCTGCATTTACCCAGGATGCATTGCTGCCCAATCAACACTCTTTCATTTCAATGTAGAAGAACCAAACCTACCGAGTTTTACTGAGTTGTTTTTACATCTAAACTAAATGTTAACTGATGGTGGATCCTCTGAAACCCTGAAGACGACCAATCAGAAGGGAGCTTTTTTTTATTAATCATGATGTTCCTCTGAGTCTGAGATGTTTTTAAAATTTCTCACAGCATCACCGTTTTGTCCAAAAGCAGAAGAGTAGCAGTCGGGTCCAGTCAGTAGAAACGTCCAGTTCCCTCCTGTTCACCTGCAGCGGTGCACCGGCTGATGGAGCCGGAGCTCCAGCAGAACCTCAGAACCTTTAGAACCTTCAGAACCTTTAGAACCTTCAGAACATTCAGAACCTTCAGAACCTTTAGAACCTTTAGAACCTTCAGAACCTTTAGAACCTTCAGAACCTTCAGAACCTTTAGAACCTTCAGAACCTTCAGAACCTTCAGAACCTTTAGAACCTTCAGAACCTTCTCCCGTTCAGGAGGAATGACCACAGATTAAAAACGTAGAAATGGTTTTTAGTGGATATTCCATATTTTATTTTCCGCTCTATAAGTCTCCCTAGTTTTCATAAATCTTGGCTCGTCCTGCATTTTATTGTCAGGATTAATTTATAGATGTTATATTTTTTGACTGATTGGTTAAATATGAGTTCATACGAACCAAGGACCAAACGTTGTCGTCAGCAGCCGTGAGGAAAGAAGACACTTTGCTGAAAGTTTGGAGCTGCAGGATCAGTTTGAACATAAAGGATGTGCTGCTGCTTTTCCAACAGCAGTGCGTTCAGATGGCCATGTCTGTCGGTCGGCGCTACCTTTCCAAACTAGCAGTTACTTCTCCTTGGACGACTTTATTGGTCGTTCCTCATCCCTTCTTCTGTTTCTGGCGCCGTTTGGACCAATTTAAATTGTGACGCCACCAAATATGGATCATGTAATATTTTCTGTTGAGGTACAATTATGTGAAATAATTGTTAATTTAACCCAGATAAGCTGAATAATGAAGTTTACCTGCAGGCAGCGTGATGTTTCTCATCGATCTGATGTGATCAGTCTGGCTGTCGCTTCACAAGCAGCATGTTAACATGAACTTCCTCTGATAAAAGTCAGAGGAATTTCATTAAAATAACAGGAATAGATAAATCATAGAATCTGCCATGAAAGTCTTGGTTTATCAGATCAAACTGGAAATTGATCTCTAATTTCCAGTCTGACAGATTCTGTTTCTGTCCTGTCAGATCTGGTCCAGCAGACCAGAGGCACCAAACGCCTCCATTCCTTTTGATTTCATGTTATTTTGAGTTATAGTCATTGCTGTTGCACTTTTCTTCTGTTGTCTTTATGTTTTAATTTACTGTGACTGTAAAACATGCACTAGAGGCAGACTGGACGGGTCTGTCAGGTTCTGCAGCCTAACTGGACCTCATGAACCGCCAACATGTTGATGGGTTCTGAGCTGCAGGTTCTGGATCGTCACTAACCGCTTCAGCTGCCTGCCAGTTGGTGGGCTTCGGTTTGCACTAATTTAATGTCTAATTGCTTTTATTGTTCCTCCGGGACCCACTTTGGAGGGGGGCCTGACGTAACGCATCGGTCCATGAAATGCATCCATGGGTCATTTCATTCTCACCAATGAAAGAAAACATACAGCAGCAGCTGCTCTGTTTCCTACAAATGAGGATTCATGAGGAAAGATGCGCGCACAGCTTCATACATCCAGATATTTTTGCGCGCCGCACTTTTCTAAATCTTTTTGAAGTTTCAGTGTGAAAACAGCCTCTGTTTCATGCCTGAGGCTCCTGGTGTTTCATGCTTGAGGCTCCTGGTGTTTCATGCCTGAGGCTCCTGGTGTTTCATGCTTGAGGCTCCTGGTGTTTCATGCCTGAGGCTCCTGGTGTTTCATGCCTGAGGCTCCTGGTGTTTCATGCCTGAGGCTCCTGGTGTTTCATGCCTGAGGCTCCTGGTGTTTCATGTTGAGGCTCCTGGTGTTTCATGCCTGAGGCTCCTGGTGTTTCATGCCTGAGGCTCCTGGTGTTTCATGTCTGAGGCTCCTGGTGTTTCATGTTGAGGCTCCTGGTGTTTCATGCCTGAGGCTCCTGGTGTTTCATGCCTGAGGCTCCTGGTGTTTCATGCCTGAGGCTCCTGGTGTTTCATGCCTGAGGCTCCTGGTGTTTCATGCCTGAGGCTCCTGGTGTTTCATGCCTGAGGCTCCTGGTGTTTCATGTCTGAGGCTCCTGGTGTTTCATGTTGAGGCTCCTGGTGTTTCATGCCTGAGGCTCCTGGTGGTTCATGTTGAGGCTCCTGGTGTTTCATGCCTGAGGCTCCTGGTGTTTCATGCCTGAGGCTCCTGGTGTTTCATGCCTGAGGCTCCTGGTGTTTCATGCCTGAGGCTCCTGGTGTTTTATGCCTGAGGCTCCTGGTGTTTTATGCCTGAGGCTCCTGGTGTTTCATGCCTGAGGCTCCTGGTGTTTCATGTTGAGGCTCCTGGTGTTTCATGCCTGAGGCTCCTGGTGTTTCATGCCTGAGGCTCCTGGTGTTTCATGCCTGAGGCTCCTGGTGTTTCATGCCTGAGGCTCCTGGTGTTTCATGCCTGAGGCTCCTGGTGTTTCATGTTGAGGCTCCTGGTGTTTCATGCCTGAGGCTCCTGGTGTTTCATGTTGAGGCTCCTGGTGTTTCATGCCTGAGGCTCCTGGTGTTTCATGCCTGAGGCTCCTGGTGTTTCATGCCTGAGGCTCCTGGTGATTCATGCCTGAGGCTCCTGGTGTTTCATGTTGGATTGTTTCCATACATTTTGCTCTCATTCCAAAATGAAACAAATCATAAGAACAAGCTGGAACTGAGTAGAATTTTTTATTTTTAATCAGGTCAGTTTAGTGGATTATTTGTGACTTATAGGCACATGTCTGTATATGAACTCAAATGTTGGTCTGAAGTTTTATTATAGGATATTTTATAAATTTATTTTGCGTTTTGTTGCCGGAGCTTGTGGACATCATACAGTTTGATGTTATTTGGGGCATTGTTATGATCTGGGACCTGCAAAGGAAGTTATTTTACATTTTGTCAAATATTTCAACTGGTTTCCTGCATATTTGCTTTGCGGTTTGTTTTCTGCATAACCGTCAGAAAAATGAAGATACAAACTCGTCTCTCTGGACCTGGAGGGAAAGTCTGTTCTGTGCCTTCACTGTTATCAAAATAAAGTTCCTGTTTTGTTCCCCACAGACTGAGTTTTGTTTTGTGTTTCCCAAAGTGTGGGGCGCTGCCCTGCCCCTGAAGGGGGCGCTGCCCTGCCCCTGAAGGGGGCGCTGCCCTGCCCCTGATGGGGGCGCTGCGCTGAGTTTACTGTGTTGTATTTTGTGAAATCGTAACAGCTTGTTATAAGTACAAGTTAAAACATACAGATATAGTATGTACTGTTTAATACATACAATCAGAGAGTTTGTAGTAGCACCTTTTTTTTATTATTATCAGTAGGATCTTAAATGTTTGTTCTCCTAAATAACAGTACATGAAGGCTCATGCATAAACCCACATGTTGTCTTTTGCTTTGCACCAAGTCCTATTATTTTAATCTGCCTCGCTGAGATGTAGAATATTTAACACAATGTTAAAATGATTCTTTGTGGTTCTGAATATAATAAATCTCCAGAGGAAGATGTTTTGATTAATAGATTAATAAAAAGCTCAAATTCAGTTCAAATTGTTGCTGTTTTATGTCTTTAGGGACAAAATGCATAAAATATTACATATTAAAGTTTATCCACATTTAAATTTAAGCACTTGTTTAAATAAATCCCATTTACTCCACAATTGAATCTGCATGTGTACAGCTGTCCACCAGGGGGCGCCACATTGTTCTTAAAGGCTTCAAGAAATAAAAGGAGAAAAGAAAGAAAATAAATAAAAAGCCAAATGATTCGACCTGAATAAATAAATAGTGACCAGAAATATCATTTCAACTCATCTACATGTGTTTATATACTTCAGGCAAAAATACAAACTATATGGATTTTTTAAAATTGTATTTTATGTGAATAGATTTTTAATTAACCCTTCATGATCTCTTATTTTTTGTGTGTTTTCTTGAATTCAGATTTCCATGACTTTTGGCTGTTTTCATGCAAAGGACATAAAATTTGGCCAAACTTTGTGAATCTGTTTGTTGGAACAAATTCTACTTTTCATGGTTTATATTCTGAAAATAATCAGCACAATTTTCAGTTTCAGACGAAGAACAGACGAGTTCAGTGGAGTCTGAGTCACTTCTGCATCTTCTGTCCTGTTGCCTCCATCCATATATTACAATTTGATTTCTGCTTGCAGGGTTTTCTGTGTTGAGATCCAATTGAATTATCAATCTTTATTGTTTTCCTAGAGAAATGGAGCTTGCAAATTTTTCAGGTGATCTTAGCTTCATTTCAAATCTTTAATGTCAAATCTCAACATTTGAGAAGTTAAAGGTTCTTTTAACCTTCCCATCTTCACTAAATAATATTTCATGGGAATTTTGCATCCAATATTAACAGGCGGTGACATAAAAGTCTCCAACATCTGACTGCAGGATGTTTCCGGGTCAATCAGTGGTTCTGCGGGCCGCAGCTGTCTGACCGACTCTCAGGTGAAGATGCACATGAGGAAGTGAAGGCAGTGAAGACTCTGGAGTCAAATGAGAGATTTGGGATGTAAAATGTGTCTGATGAGGTTAAATATTAGGGAAAGCATCGTTATAAATGTCTGTCGTCTGAAATGCAAATAGTTTGTCCAAGATTTTGCATTTTCAGATGAAAAGCAGGAATCTGGATTTCTGCAGTCAGACTGGAGACCAGTGAATGTGCAGAGATGGAGAAAGTTCTGTGGTTCTTTGCTGCTGCATCAGGCAAGTTTTATTTCTGTGATTTATGGATTTTCCAGAAGAAATGTTGATGTGAAAATGTTTCTTCCCTGCAGCTCTGAGCGCCTCCTCCCACCCTGAACGTCAGTACCATTTCGTTTACGAGCCAAAGAACTGGACCAACGCTCAGAGCTACTGCAGAGAAAACTACCCCGACCTGGTCACCGTGGACAACGAAGACGTTGTGACGATCCTGAACAACATGGCCGATCTGCAGCAGATGGACTCCTCCGCTGTCGTAAAGTTTCTTTTTCTGTTTCTTTGCAAAGCTGATTTCAGGGACTTTTTTTACAGTATCTTTTATTGTGGGGTTTTTCCACCACATTTCAATATTTATTATTTTTGTCATATTTGGCTTTACATACATCCTTTGTGATATTTTCATTCTGAACAGACTGACTATGTTTTTTAGATGATAAAATCCCGTTTTAACTATTTGCTTAACATGTGGAATAAAAGTGAGCTCAGAGTTGAGAAGAACGCCGAGGCCTCTGACTTATTTTGAAGGTTTAAAAGATGCAGTTTGTAATTTTTGAATTATAATTTCTTTCTGATCTTCTGGTCCAATGACTAAAAGTTCTGTTTCGTCCTGGTTGAGCAGGAGAAAGTTCTGCAGCATCCAGGTCTTTATGTGTGAAATGCAATGAAAACGTGCAGCGATGGCTGGAGGTCGTCTCGAGACAACGACGTCGTCAGCAGAACCGTGGAAACTGAGTCCTGGTTCCTGATGAATCCACCAAGCAGCAACATGTAAACATTAAACAGCAGAGGGTCTAAAACTAAGCCTTGTGCGACGCCATAGTTAACATCATGGACCTGTGAGGAATGTGGACCGACCATAAAAGTTCTCTCTGTGAGGCAGGAGCAGAACAGAACCAGAACCGACTAGATGCTGTAATCTGAGAGCTTGTGAATCCAGATTACACCTAAAATCGTTTACAGTTTTTAAAAGGTCTGTCTCTGTTCTGTGATTCGTCCTGAAACCACATTGATACTTTTCTAAAATACCACTTAGTTAAAAAAGTATTTAATTGAATAAAAACAAGTTTAATGTAATGTTTGTGCATCTTATGTAGCTTTAATCTCTTCAGTTATTTACGAAATGTTTAGGAGCAAATATTGGGTTTTTCTTCCAGAGGACCATTTGTGAGGTCAGACACTGATGTGGGATAAGAAGGTCTGGCTGTCAGTCTGCGCTTTAATTCACCACACAGTTGAAGTCAATACTCTGTGTTCTTCCACACCAAACCCAGAATCCTCCGTCAGGTTCGGGTCAAGAACAATTTGAGCCGTCCAGCTGCGTTGGGACGGCTGACTCCTGGCTCATTCCCGGCTCATTCCCGGTGCGCGCCCGGCGTCGCTCCATCCAGCTGTCTGCACTGTAAGACCTGAATGCATCTGTGTGGACCAATTCCATGAAGGACATCTCTTAACCTGCAGCCCCTTCTCTCACAAACGTTTGCAGAAGCAGATTGAACGTGTCAACTCTCATTTTGGGGAAATCTGATGTATTTTTGCGTGTTTCGGTCGGAGAACAAACATCTGGATTTTTCTCAGTGTCTCTCCGCCTTTGGGATGCAGTCAGATGAGGGAGCAGCAGGAAAGATGCACAAACGTAGCGACGAGCCTCAGAAGGAGGCCGTTGCTGAGACGGGAACGGTCCAGTTAATATGCAAGGCAGCAGCTTCAGGTCAAAATGCAAAGCGACACTGAGGAACTGCCAGAAACTCCATTAAACCACATCAAATCCTCTAATCCTGGGGTTTAGGTTTGTGTCATTGTGCCAGTTTTTCAGCTTTATTTACATCAGGTTTGCAATGGTGATGACTCCTGGACCTCCTGATAACTAATGGAAATGAACTGACTGCATCCCAGGAGCAGAACCAGGACTGGAGCTAAAATCTCGAGATGAAGGCAAAACCTGGAGTCTGGATCCCAGTTTTTGTTATGGGAAGAAAATGATTCTTCCAAATCATTTTCTTTTGCATGATTCTGTTATTTTTTTGTTACTTATTAGAATTATTGTCACTTTGGTCCTGAAAATATCACCTAACTTTATATTTTGGTCTGTCTGATGATGAAATGTCTAAATCTGAAGTGATTGATCATGTGATCCGTTACTCGGGACTTTAGATCATTTTGCTGAGTCATTTGTTGGAAAGCTACTTTTTACTTTTACTTTGTTAAAAACATGTTGAAGCAGAGTTGTGCAGGTTTTCTGCTCCTCTGCTCACAGGTTTCCTGTTTTCTGATGTTCAGTAACTTTTGAATTGAATAGTTTGCGATAGAAGCGACAGACTGTGATGCTGAATGTGACTGAATTGGTCTGGTTTCCAACAGGCCTGGATCGGTTTGTACCACAATGAGGTCAGATGGAAGTGGTTCTCTGAAGGTTTTTACCGGAGTGATGAGCTGAACTGGCAGAAATGGGAGTGGAGGGAGCCAAACCTCCAATGGTACATCCCGTCATGTGGGGCGATGGACAAAGCTGGGTGGTGGTACGATGTGCTACAATGAGTCAGGTAAGAATCTGGTTTCATTTCGTCTTCCTGCTTCTTGGTTACAGTTTAGCTAGTTTTTATAAATACTTTTACCATTTGGGGGCCAACAGGCACAAAGCTCAGCAAAATGTAATTATTGCAGAATATATTAATAAAACCCATTAATATCATAATAGATAAACATGAAACAAAACTTTCATATTCAGTTAAAAAGGAGAAGAAAAAAAGCGAAATTCATTAAATCCGACTCACAGCAAAGCTAAATACACATCAAATAACATCAAATAATCATCATCAAATAATATTTAAGCATACAAAAGTTATCTTGAACCTCTACTTGAGCGGCCATCAATAATCCTGAGGACCACAAAATGGTTCTAACAGGCCGGACTTGGCCCACGGGCCTCAAGTTGAAGACCTGATTTCACCTGACCAGGAGAAAGAAAATGCTTTGTCTTCTTCAAACACGCAGTTTATTACAATATTTATAAAACAGAAACATATTTATGCTTTCTGTAGATAATATTACCTGCTCCAGACTCCCCTAGTGGTGTGGAGCAAGTTTGCAGCGTTTATCTGTGCCATAGTTTTAGTATTTTCCAACATTTTATCTTTTGCTTCTATTTCCTGGAGTTGCAGCATTTTCTGTTTTCATTTCTTTTGTTCATTGAAGGATTTTGCTGCTTTTTTCTGTGATTGCATAACAGGATTCAAGAGTCTAAATAAAAAAAATTGCTTTTACATTCATAAACAAGCAAAAATATCTCAAATTTTTCCACATTAGTACCACAAACACTTTAATTTCCATTGCAGAAACTCAGATTTAGCTGGCTGCTTTGTGAATAAATGTTGACATGTTGAAGTTTTGGTTGTTGATAAAAGGTCTTCAGGCCTTCAGATTCAGGCTCTTATTTTGAAGTTAGATGTAAAGAAAATCTTTTCTTGGGTTCAGTCAGCAGCTGTCAGCCAACATAAGTCAGACAGAAACCAAAGTGATTCTAGTTTCTGTGGTTTTCAGAAGAGGAGACGAGCGTTGTCTTCGTGAACGCCGAGATGAACTGGGAAGAGGCTCAGAGCTTCTGCAGGGATCACTACACTGACCTGGCCTTTCCCAGGAGCCAGGCAGAGAACGAGGAGATAGCAGCAGAGATACCAGGCGGCGTGTTGGGCTGGATCGGCTTCTACAGAGAGTCCTGGAAGTGGTCGGACGGACACATGTATCTGTTTCAGAACTGGCTACAGGCCAAACCTGACAGTCAGAGCGAGCTTTGCAGCGTTGCCAGATTTAGCAGCTCTGGCGGCTGGGATGACTGGAACTGTGACAAACTGAAGCCATTTATCTGCCATGATGGTGAGCTGCTCCTCAGTCTGAGCTTAATGGAAACGTGAAGGTCAGTTTGTGATGCTAGAAGGTAAAAACTCTTCTGTAGAAGAAGAATGTGGTTCATTCTCTAACTTTTCTGCTAAATTGTTATAATGTTACAGTGAACCTCTGCTGAACTCTATTGTTCTGACCAAAACTCCTAAGAATGTATGCAAACGGCTTAATGGAGAAGCACTGTTGTGATGATGTCTGAAAGGGGCGTGTCAGGAAGTGTAGGAGGTTCTTAAAGAGACAGAGGCCAATTTCAAAATGAAAGGTCAAAGTTCAGTTGGAGGAAACAGTGACTTGATTGTGTAAAACACTGACTCTGTCTCTCCGACGCCAGAACAGTCTCTCTGCAAACAGCATTCACATCCGGGACCCAGAGTCTCTTTTCTAAAATACTTTTCTCCCCTTAACTCTAATAAAATGTTATAAATATTTGTTTTAAAGACCCTCAACCCTTCACAACACAAGTGGTGAAAGTGAAGCTGGTGTTGAACTCGGCTCTGGATCTGAACGACCCGGCGGTTCTGGAAAACATGAAGGCGGAGGTAAAACATCCCAGAACTCTGAGTTTTAGCATTTAAGCTCAAATATCATTGAATCCAGAAAACTTTGAAGCGTGTCAGTGAAATGTTGGGATGAATCAGTAACTGCTGTGTTTCAGCTCCGCCTGATGCTGGATCAGCAGGGCCCAGACGTCAAGCTGAGCTGGAAGAAACAGCAGGACGGAAAAATCTTCCACCAGGAGGAGGAAGAGGAGAAGCTGCAGTGAGACGACGACAAGCTGATGAGACTTTCTCAGCTCTTCTAACATGTTTTAAAATGAAAAATTTGTAAATCCATATTAACAGCAAAATGATGCGGTGATGTGAGATTTTCTTTTAGTCACAGTTATTCAACGTGTTTGAAACATTATTCAAACCTGATCAGTTTAAATCGCTGAGTTTTCAGTTTGATTCATGCATCTCTGCCGTCAGGCTCAGCAGTTTTGATTTACTTTTGCGTTTCCTCTATGATCACTTCTGGGTTTGTTGTTGTCATTTAGGTCTTGCCATATTCAGATAATGTTTCCCTTTTGGTTTGTTGATCGTTTTCATCTTTAGTTCACCTCGGTTTATGTTAAATATCCTCCTGCCGTCTTTCTAACAGCTGTTTCACTCCTCTGATTCGCTCACCTGGTTCTGATCTCATTAGCCATTAGCCTGCCTCCCTATTAGAGCTCTCTGGTTTGCATTGTTCATTGCATGTCCTGTTAACAGCATTGTATGTCTTAATTTTTTGATTATTAAAATCATCTGGCTTCATCTTTGTGGTTCTGTCCAAATAAAACCAAACAGAGGACGCCATGTTTATTCCTGACCATGAGTTCTGCACGTCTGCACCACTGCTGCAGAATCAACACGCCTGTTTCAGCAGCAGTGTAGTATTCTGCTGCATATATACATAAAGGTTCCCTCACATCAGCATGCTGGGTGTTTGAAACAGAGAGTGAAACTGACAGCTTGACCTTCATACTGACTGATTTGGTTCACAATTATCAGACCAGATGGAGTTTGAAAATTTCATCCCATTGGGAACAACAATGGGTCAGATGTTCCCAATGGGAAATTTAAATGTTGTAGTTAAATCTTGCAGGATGGATGAATAGTTCATTAATTCAGATTCTTATTTAGTCTTATTCTTACTTATTGTGTGACAGGATTTGATAGTCCAAAGACCTCCTCACATTTAGACCCATGTGTTTTATTAGACTGGCAGGAAATCCATCCATCCATCGTCTGCCGTTCATCCGGGTCGGGTCGCGGGGTCAGCAGCTTCAGAATGAATCCCGAGATACTTGAACTCTTCCTGGGGGAGACACTGTGCCTAGAAATTCTGTCCATGAAAGTAATGAACAGAATCGGTGACAATGCCCTGGCGGAGTCCAACCCACCAACGAGCCCGACTTATTGCCGGCGATGTGGACCAGACTCTGACACCGGTCATCCAGGGACCTGACAGCCCGTATCAAAGGGCCCGGTACCCCAGACTCCTGGAGAACCCCCACAGGGCACCCCGAGGGACACGGTCGAACGCCTTCCCCAAGTCTACAAAACACATGTTTTGTAGACTGATCCGGGCCCGTCTGACGGGCCCGGATCAGTCGGTACCGTGATGTGCTCAGCTGCAGGCGGAGGTTTCAGATGGAGGCTGCAGACGTTGAGCCAAACCCGGCCCGCTACACAGCGGACCGCGCTCACAGGTATTACAATGGCTGCTGGAACGACGTTCCCTGCCAGTGGCTGTATGAATTCATCACCAGTGGTGAGATTTTATATCAAATCCAGATTTAATAACTGGCAAAAAGAATTTTATTTTTAAGGTTTGCTCATGAATAAATGTAGGGAAGCATATATATATTGGTAAATATCAGTAAATAAAGCAGTATTAATATCAGACATCAGTATTAATCTGCTGAAGCTTAGAAAATTTACCACTTGCAGTAATAAGTCATTATTCAGCCAAAATGGGGAAACTCAATATCTGAAATTATATTTAATGTAACAATAACAATAAAATTGATCATCCTTGTTAGTTTAAGAGATAAATTCCCACTTTGTACATCATTTTGTCCAGACGGGCCGACAGGAGGCCCGTCTGGACTCGCTGCACGGTTCCGCTCAGGCTGCTGTGATCAGGATGTTATGAAGAAAATGTATTTTCCACTTGGTCCAGAAAGCTATTCTCGTGTTTTGTGACCTGCAGCAGCACAGCGGCTCTGGCTACTGCACACGGCCCAAAGAAAAGCTGCCATGTTTCTGCATCACTTCAAGATTCCTGCTGGTCCAGAAAAGACACAAACCACGACATCAGTGAAGACAATGTCCAGGGTAAAGAGGACATTTGGACACCCTATGAATGATTTCGAGCCATTTCAGATACAAACATGAGTGTTAAGAGAAACTTGATTAACTGTTGACTGATTGCATGGAGGTGAGTCACAAATCAAAAACAGATGAAAGCCTGGAACTGGAGGCGTTTCAACCCGTCTCTTTGCTTCTCTTCTGGTCTGTTTCCAGGACAGGACGCATCATTTTTCTCCATGAGCGGATCAGTGAACTGGGCCGACGCTCAGAGCTACTGCAGGCTGCAGCACACAGACCCGGCCGGCGTCAGGAGCCTGCAGGAGAACGAGCGGACCTGCAGGTCTGACCGTCTGGACCGGCCTCCACAAAGACACCTGGTCCAACAGAAACCTGTTCCTGTTTTCCTCCTGTGCATCAGGACAGACATAAGGACGGGCATAAGGACAGACATCAGGACGGACATCAGGACAGACATAAGGACGGGCATAAGGACAGACATCAGGACGGACATCAGGACAGACATCAGGACGGGCATCAGGACAGACATCAGGACGGGCATCAGGACAGACATCAGGACAGACATCAGGACGGGCATCAGGACATCAGGACGGACATCAGGACAGACATCAGGACGGACATCAGGACGGGCATCAGGACAGACATCAGGACGGGCATCAGGACAGACATCAGGACGGGCATCAGGACAGACATCAGGACAGACATCAGGACGGGCATCAGGACAGACATCAGGACAGGCATCAGGACATCAGGACAGACATCAGGACATCAGGACAGGCGCCAGGCAGCGCGGAGATTCAGCCGTCCGCTCGGTGGGAGGACAGTCCTTCCTCTGGTTGGACCAAAGGACAAAAGAGGACAACACGCCAGAAATGACCTTGAATCTGATCAAACGTAATGATTGAAGTCTTTTCTAAACATGCAGCATTTTGAAAAAGGAGCATGTTTATAAAGGTAATGCCTCCCTCTATAAATTCTTTTTTGTTATTTCTTTTTTCCCTTTTTCCTGTTCCTTGTTATTTCTTTCTATTTCCTTTCTTTTACTTTCTTTTTTTCTAACTCTTTCTCTGCCAACACTGATAATGTTCTGCACTAGTAAATAAAAAACCTATAAACATCATAACAATAACCTTAAACAATATTTGTGTCATTTTTACTGTCTGTTTATGAACCAAACCTTCATCCATAGCCCAGTCTAAACGGGGACAGCGCCCCCTGCTGGACGCAGTTAATCTGCACCATGTAAACCAGTTTCATTGATGCAATAAACGTTTTTAATCTAACAGTAAAAATCATATCAGCCCTCAATATTTCATGGTTTTAAATTTTAAATCGGCCATTTTTGTTTTCAACATGTGGAAAATCGGATTCTGTCACATTTAGTGTTCCATATCATTAAACTAACTGTAATATTGCTCAACAATTATTAGAATTAACACAACATGCAGTTTCTAAATGATTTCATTCAGTAAGGAAACAAAAAACCTTTGTGTTTATTTATTGGTAGTTTGATTTCAACCATTAAATGTGGACCAATAATAATAATATCTCTTAAACTAACACATAAACACACTGTAATAACTTTAAGTCTTTATAAGAAAATCAGGGTTTAAGAAATAAAAGAAAAAAATTAACTCTTCAGTTTCCCTTTTGGCTCAACAGAGTATTTTTTTTTTTGAATTTGAAAAAGGATGTCAGTTTTTATAGCAGAGCTTTTGCAAAGGCATTCATGTTTTTATTTAATTCTCATTTCTAAATATTAATGTTTGTGACGGGTCGGATCGGGTCCCACAAGTTTGTTGACAGAGTGAAGGAGGAACAGAAGCAGTTCTGGATGAAATCTGATATTCAAACACCAGACGACCCGTTTGAGTCAGACACACCCTGGAGATCGGCCTATCCAAAGTAAACAGGCTCTGATGTCAGCAGTTTGCTGGAATTAAAAATTATAATGAGGTCAGAGTCGATTAGTTTGACTCTTGAAAAGCTTCGATTCAAACAGCTTAAAGTCATTAAAATGGTTAAACTGAGAGGCTCCAGTTATGTCTGATCCTGGGTTGTTGGTTCAATTCCTTTATGCTTTTGTTGAGTTAGTAAATACTTTTATTCATCTACTTTCATTTCTTCACGTCTAAAATGTTCGGTCAGCAGATTGTTGAGCTGAACCAAAATATTATTAAAGGGAAATTATTTATGGGAAAATCTCTGGATATGCAAAAACACATTAAATTTAATAAACAATAATTAAAATATATTTTATCCCAAAGAGAAAGAAACACACCCAACATGTGTTTGAGGTCTGCTGGGGTTCAGTGACTGAAGCTCAGCTTGCATTAGTTCTATTTTATCACAAAGAATGAAAGTATCTCTAAATATGAGAGTTTAACCCGGAAACATTCGGGAACATTTGGAAACATGATGACGGCTGCGCATGTGGATCCGATGGCTGTTTGCTGCTTTGCCTCTGTTGTTCTAAGGATCAAATGATGGAAGATCAACAGAAGACAGATCAGATGAAACAGGAAGCCCAACCCTGAAGGCAGCTTCCTGGACAGGAACCAAATCCAGTTGCAACAATTCTGCTCCCAATAAACCAAGAAAATAATTCTGTTTGACTTTAAAGCTCTTCAATCCAAATGAAGTTTAATAAAGTCATTCATTCATATTTATGGATCTCAGAAATGAGAGGGAAAAAGTTTCCAGAAGTTTATGAAGCGATTGATCATCTTACCTAAAAAAACACACATAAGCAGCAACATGCAGAGAACAGCAGCAGAACTAAAACTTTAAACGTTTGAGCTGCCAGATTCTGCAGACTTCACACAATCAGCCTGGAACATGAGCAGCTTTATCTGAATAAAACATGTCAGCATTCACAGTGCTCATAAAACTGAACACAGCAAACTTTACATTTGGTCAAATTTCATGATCACAACCATCATCAAATATATTGATCAATGTCTCTTTACTAATAAAAGCAGCTCTACGCAGTTTTAGCCTCGATTTAAAGGATCTCAGTGTTTCAGCTGTTTGGAGGTTTTCTGGACGTTTGTTCCTGGTTCTGGTTCCGGTTCTGCAGAGCCGACTGGAGCCAGAAGACCTCAGAGTTCTGGAAGGTTGATCCAACAGCAGAAGATCTTTTTCGTTCATTCACAGCAAATTCACCAGAGTTCTGGTTTCCATGTTGGGACGTATGAGAGCAGTGGCGGCCCGGTGGGTCCAGGAGGGTCCAGGAGGGTCCAGGAGGGTCCAGGAGGGCCCGGTGGGTCCAGGAGGGTCCGGGAGTGCCCGGTGGGTCCAGGAGGGTCCGGTGGGTCCAGGAGGGTCCAGGAGGGTCCGGTAGGTCCAGGAGGGTCCAGGAGGGTCCGGTG